ACTCTTTGGAATGGGCACAAATATGGATCTCTTCTAATCAGTTGGCCAGATAGTTGTCTTCCAAATTTCTTGGCATAGATGAGTGAGCGCCTTCTGTGCTGCCTCACTTTCTTGAAAGGTTTCAATTTTTATTCCATCAATTCCTGGTTCTTTGCCAATTGTTCTTTGCCAATTCCTTCAATGCACCTTGGACTTCTTCCTTCAGTAGCATTGGCTTTTGATCATGCTACCTGTTGAAACGGTTGAACATCAACCATTTCCTTTTGGTACAGTGCCTCTGTGTATTCCTTCCATCTTCTTTTGATGCTTTCTGCATTATTCAATAATTTAGTATATCCAGATATACTGCATATTCAAAACTGCTTTTCTATTGCTTTGATTCCTTTATTTATTTTTATTGTTGTAAAAACATATAACACAACCTTTGCTAATTTAGTAATTTTGTTTTTGTTGTCAGCTGCCATTGGTTCTGACTCATAGAGACTTGATGCACAGCAGAACAAAAGACTGCCTAGTTCTACACCACAATATTTTTTTAGGTGTTCAATTTAGTATTGTCAGTTACATTAATCATATTATTATAGTTGTGAATCTTAAAAAGAGCTTTTTCTTGTTGTTATTGGTAAGTGCTGTTGAGTTGGTTCTGATTCATGACCCTGTGTATAGGGTTTCAGAGGAGCAACTGGTGGGTTTGAATTGCTGGTCTTACAGTTCAAATTGACCTTATGGTCTAGTACTTATCTGATAGCACCATACCAGGACTCATTGTTGTTTTTGTTAAGTGCTTTTGAATCAGTTCTGACCCATAGCGACCCCATATAGGGTTTCTGAGGAGAGGCTGGTGTGTTTGAACCTTGTGGTTCAAGCTGACCTTGTGGTCCAGTGCATTATCCTGCAGCACCACACCAGGATTCATTAGCTGGATAGGAAGTCCTTGGTTAATACTTGATTTTGTGAAATTTCTTGAAAATGCTGTTTCATTGTTGTTTTTTAAAGAAAATCTAATGACAATCTAATTATCTTCACTTCTAAGTAATTTGATATTTGCCTAGAGGCCCTGAGGATTTTTCTTCTTCAAGTGTAAAAGTCTAGTAGTCTCAGATTTCATTATTTTGCACCAATTGCCTAGGGTACTCTCTGGCATTTTCAGTGTGAAGATTCAGATTATATTTTATTTCAGGAAAGTTTTCTTGAATTAAGGTTTTAAATTGTAGTTCTGTTTTATTCTTTTTTTCTTTTCTTCCCCACCCCCCCAGAGACCCCAAAACACATGCTTATACAAAACACTCTTTCCATTACCCATTAAGCATTGTGCTGCTAACCTGGAGGTCAGCAGTTCGAACCTACCAACCACTCCTCTTGTAAAGATTTACAATGTGGAAATCTTATGGAGTATTTCTGCTCTGTCCTATAGGATTGCTATGAGTTGGAATTGACTCAGTGGCATTGGGTTTCCATTCCTCATTTGTCAATCAGCTTATCATATCATGCTGGCTTGTGGGTTGTTATCATATTAGGACAGTATATCAAATACCAGCATGGTTACTCATAGTGGACAAGTTATCAGTGGAACTTACAGGGTAAGAGAGATTAAGAAGAAAGAACTGACAATCTACTTCTGAAAATTAGCTAATGAACTTTATGGAGCATAACAGAATATTGTCTGACTTGCTTGCTCTGGACACATCATCAGAAGGGATCGATTGATAGAAGAAGACATCATGTTTGATGCATCTGAGGGCTAGTAAGGTGATGAAAAATCTTGATGAGATTGATTGACACAGAAGCCACAGTGATTTACTCTAACATGCCAGACATCCTGCGGATGATGGAGAATGAGGGCAATGTTTTGTTCTGTTGTATATAAAGTCGCTATGAGTTGGAGTCAACTTGATGGTGGCTAGCTAATCTTAATCTATCTGTCTGTTTATCTATCTATCTATCTATCTATCTATCTATCTATCTATCTATCTATCTATCTATCTATCTATCATCTATCTATCTATCTATCCAGCTATTTAGTTATCTATTATCTACCTACCTATCATGTATGCTCTTCTTGCCTATCTTCCAAGACAAAAATTCACTTTCTGATTAGAAAAAAAAAGCCTTTCTTTAATTTATTTCCATTTTCTTAAT